TTTACATAGGAATTAAAATTCTTCAAAAGATTCAAATTAAAATCTTTTAAAATTCAATGACTTTTAAGAATATTATTATAAAATATGAAATATGAATTTTTATTAGTTCCATTGAATTAACAATTATTATTTTTTTACATAATAATTTAAAAAAAAATGTTTAAAATTAAAATTTTTCTTTAAATCAATAATTTAAAATAATTTTTGAAAAAGCTTTTAATAATTTTCAAATCCATTTGTTTACAATTCAATTTTAGACGAAATTTCGTATATTCGAAAATAAATTTTTAAATCATTAAATTGTTTCGACGAATTTTAATAAAATTTTTTAGAATAATTACATTTTTTCGAGGAATTCGATTAAAATTGAATTAAAAATAATTGAAATTCAGCGATGAGTTTTATTATTTATGAGAATAATTGAATTCCTAAAAAGAATTTTATTATTTACGAGAATCATTGAATCTCTATTAAAAATTGTATAGTTTATGAAAATAATGCAATTATTACGAAGAAATTTATAACAAATTTATAAATAATTGAATTCCTATGATATTTTCATTATTTATGAAAATAATTAAATCTTTTCGTAGAATTTTATCAAAATTTGTTTTAAATAATTGAATTCTTTTGGAAAATTTTTGAAAATAATTAAAATTTTGGCTAGAAATTTATTAAATTTTCTGAAAATAATTTAATTTTGGAGAAGAATTTTATTATTTATAAAGATACTAGAAACTTTGATAAGGATTTTTTTTTTATTTTTAAACATAATGGAATTTCTGCGAAGAATTTTATTACTTTTGAAAATAATTTAATTCTTCCAACGAATTTTATTCAAGTTCATGAAAATAATTGAATTTTGATGAAGAATTTTATTATTTATAAAAATATTTGAATTCTTGAAAAAAACTTTGTTAAATTTCTTTTAAATAATTGAATTCTTGCGATGAATTTTATAAATTTTTTTTTAAATAATTGATATTTTTCAAAAGATTTTATGAAATTTTGTATTTTAAATAATTGAATTTCTATGAAAATTTTATTACTTATGAAAATAATAGAATTATTTGGAAAAAATTCATTACAAATTTATACCTATATAATTGAATTCCTGTGATATTTTTATTATTCATGAAAATAGTTAAATGTTTTCGTAGAATTTTATCCAAATTTGTTTTAAATAATTGAATTCTTTTGGAAAATTTTTGAAAATAGTAGATATTGAAAATCATTGAATTGAAGAAAATTTTTGTAAAATAATTGAAATTTTGTCGAGAAATTTATTAAATTTTTTGAAAATAATTGAATTTCGCAGAAGAATTTTATTATTAATAAAGATAATTGTAATTTTGACGAGAATTTTTTTAAACTTTTGAACATAATTGAATTTTAGCAATCATTTGTAACTTCTTAAAAATGCAAATTTTTGTAGTATTTTTAGCTAAAATTCTTCTATAAATCCATTATTTTTAATAATTAATTAGATATTGAAAAATTAAAAAATTAAACTAATTTCAGAAGAATTTGAAATATTACAATTTTTCAAAAATCTAAGTTCTTTAAAATTTCTAATTGAATTCATTCAAAATTGAAGTTTTATAAAATTTCAAATTAATACCGTTTGAAGTTCATCTATTTATGAATGAAGTTATTTAATTAGAAATTATTGTCAGAAATAGAAAAAATTTAAGATTTCGTGGTAATTTCATAGTTTATGAAGCAAACAAAAAAAAAACACAAAAATTCAGAATTTTCTTATGAATTCTAAAAATTTAATTTTTTCCGAATTCCCTCACTACCCTGACCTGTGACAACCCTGTATTAGGATATTAATTTATTTAATTATTATTATTAACAATATCATTTAATTATTATTTTTTATAACTAATTTCATTATTTGTACCAGAAATCTTTGGTATACCTAAAATCAATCAAAATTAAAATTAATAGTAACTAAAATCGACAGTAACTGAAAATGATAGTAACTAATAACTAAAATTATTACCAGTATCTAAAATCGCCAGTAACTAAAAACCATTATAACAGTGAAAATCAAAATTATAGTAGAAAATAACAATAATTTTGAAATCGATAACAACTGAAGTACAAACTCTACTGCTGCAATATATTTTCAACCACAACGAGTAAAAAAAGAAGCGAGACAAATTAAATTTCTTCCGTTATTTATAAAAAAAAATGCCCCGACATTTATTAAAAAAAGAGGACAATAAATAATGTCTGGAATTCGATAATTCCCTGCCTCCGCAATCTATAATATATTGTTCGAAAGCAGAGATTATATTTCAACTGTTGAAATTTGACAGCAACTATTAGCCATGGCGTTTAAACTTGTTAAAGCCATTGAACACAATATTATTGGTGTCTAGGCGTCATTTTACTATCTATTCACAATATGTGTGCCCGTGCGATATGTGCAACAGATTTCGAGAGATTATGTTCAACATACACATTTTCTCCTTATATGTGTGTTTCTACATTCATGTCTGTGTGCGTCTGTGTGTATTTTTCGCTTTTCGTCTGGTGATTCGCTACTCGCACATGGCACAAACAGCTGCTACTGTTCGTTGCAGGAAATGATGTAGATATAGCTTACTATTACCGCGAGCAACCAGTGGTGAATTCAAGAGAGCGAGAGAGAGACCCTCAGGGGGAAATATTTTGTCTAAAAAGAGATAATAAACCCTACCGTCAATCTCGACGTGTACTAGAAAGTAAAAAATAAATCCTTCCCTGCCCCAAAAAAAAAAAAAATAAATTTCCCTCTCGAAAAGAAAAAATAATTTTTGCTCTTCTAATATGAGACTTTTCTCTTTTCAATGATAGTTTCCCCTCCTCAATAGACACTTTTTCTTTTCTTTTCGAAAAGTTTGACAAGTGAAAAAGGGAATTTTTAATCATTCAAAAATTGAAATTATTATTTAAAGAAAAAAGTAGAGTGAAATTGTATTTAAGATTCAAATAAGAAAAAATTCTTCTTTATTGTTATGCTACTTTTGTTTCCTCATAGCAAGAATCTTCAGGAAATGAGCAATCCAATTTTCAGATATGAGAATTGTTCCTTTTTTTTTCTCTCTCTCTCTCTTCAGAAAAGGTACAATTTTCATTTAATGACATTGCTCACGAACTTGAGATTCAAGAATGTCCGAAAGCGATTTGAAAGCTGGAATTGAAATTAGATCGTTTTCAAATCGAATCGGATTCTTTTGCACACTGCGGAAAAATATTATTTCCCTACGAAGGAAAACCGTTTTCTCTCCCTTAATGAGAATTCTGCAATAATAATAAAAACACAAATAAAAATAACTTAATTTTTCCATCTTTTTTAATTGAATTTTTTGTTTTTTTATTCTTTCAAATTTAAAAATTGGTACTATTTATTATTGTGTATTATTTATTATTGTGTATTATTTATTATTGTGTATTATTTATTATTAGTTATTATTTATTTCTAGTTATTATTTATTGACTACTAATTCGAAATGAATCTAAATAAACAAGAGGTGTGTTTAAATATTTAAAAAGGAAGAATTCATAAATTCTAGATAATTCACCACTAATTTGAAATAAATAGAAAAAAGGTATGTGTGTGTATTTTCGAAAAAGAAAGTTCGAAAGGGGAAGCAACTGTCAAAACGGTTAAGTTCAATAACCCCTAAAATATTACAAATGCATCATTTGCTTTTCGGCAGCCGTCTAAATGCACCCTTATTATTGAAATTTTTACGTCATACTAGACTAATCCATCAAATGAAAAAAGCAAAAAGCTGTCTGTACTCAATTTACAATTACCATACATTATAATTACGAAATGAATTAATTTCAAATGAGTCATCAATTTCCTCCTTTCTTTTCCAAAAAATATGCATATACTTGCCCATTTCGAACCCATGCGCGAAAAATAGGAATTCCCCTTCTATTATAGTGATTTTCTCAAATTGTCCACAATTTCATATCCTATATAGTATATTTTCTTTTTTTCCGAAAAGACCAGGGGAAAAATTCTCGATGGCAATAAGGAAGCAGATGTCTTTATTTGCCGGTTTACTCTAGGGTGGCATTTCCTATAATTTTGGATTACACGATAGAGCCATGTTTATGTGCCAGAAAGCACATGAATCACTCTCTCCTTGAATGAACCATACAGGGAGAGGGGTTTTGACTCATTTCTATATTTCCTCCCCCAAAAAAAAGAAATTCTACAAATTTGTATCATCTCACTCATCAATTCAAATTGTTTTAATGTTTCATATTGCAACTTGAGTCTTTTGATTAATCAATGCAAGTGTTGGAGAACTTTTCTTAGCCACAAATAAGGATATCAAATTGGGCCAAAAAACAAAATCAAAATTGTTGCATCGCAACAATTTTGATTTTGTTTTTTGTCCCAATTTGATATCCGTAGAAAAACCGTGGCTAAGAGATCAAAATCTTTACTTTTTATGTACCATATATTATAGATTTCTTGGTGGATTAAAATTTTTACTAGACATTATCTGCTGTAATTCTTTATCTGCTGTAATTCGTTAAATGTTGTAATTCTTTATCTGCTATAATTCGTTATCTGCTGTAATTCGTTATCTGCTATAAATCGCTGTCTGCTATAAATCACTATCTGCTCTAAACTATTATCAGCTATAAAGTACAATGCAATAAGATATTTCAGCAACAAGTTGTCCATCATCTTAAATAGATTACCAATCGACTAATTCATCTAAGAAAAAGCAATTAAACCAAATTAGTAATGCAAGCCGCCCATTGTTCATTGCAAACAATAAGACTAATTAAAATTCTCCGAAGCGAAAATCGGAGTAAATCTTATCAGTTTCTGAGCCAATTATCCGAGTGCAATTCAACGATCCATCTCTGCGGTTTGTTGGCCCAGAATCTTAATTTAGTCCACATCTTGTCCAACACACAGACATATATAGGTCCTTGTACAACTAACCCGAAAGCCTAACATGAACTTTCGTTTCCAGGTTACACGCACGAGGCCTGGATCAATCACGAGGAACCACCAAAGTACGCCACCCTTCGTTCAGCAGCCGAATTGGCGAGGCCAGTGGCACCATCACCACCACCACCGCCGCAACCTCCAGTTCAACCGTCACATCATTTGGAGCATCAGATCAATTCAAATCACCAATCACTCACTCTACCACCAAGGAAAAGTCTCTCCATGTGTTTCACCTCAACCGGCACCGCTCTCTCCCTACCGCCAAAAAAGAAGGACATCTACCGACCCTACAGCCTTCAACCCTCCGAGATCCGAACATCTGCCGAAGAAGACCTCTCAGCAGCTCAAGCCATCCTAGACCTCAGCGCCTCACCAGCTGCTCCCAATCATTCCGTTTTCATTCACACAATTCCATCTGGCGTCCCTCCTCCTCCTAATCTACCTTCTCCACCACCTTTACCACAATCATCCTCTCAAACCCCAATTCCCGTATCTGTCCTAGTCTCCCCTTGCGAGGGGCGAGCGCATCTCCCGCAACAGGAGCGTCATCACCACGAACCACTTCCCTCCCCCCCATCGCCCATCACCGACGACAACAGCAACTCCGGTTCAAACAAAACCGTCGCCTACACCTACGAGGCATTCTTCGTCTCCGACGGTCGCTCGAAACGTCGCTCCAGCACCGCCGCCGTACCCGAGAAGGAACCCGAACAACCCGAGAAGCCAAAATTCACCTGCACCGAATGTGGCAAACAATACGCCACCTCATCCAACCTCTCCCGACACAAGCAAACCCATCGCAGTCTCGACTCCCAATCGGCAAAAAAATGCATCCACTGCGGCAAGGCCTACGTGAGCATGCCCGCCCTAGCCATGCACGTCCTCACTCACAAGTTAGCCCACAGCTGCGGCGTCTGCGGAAAAATGTTCTCCCGTCCCTGGCTCCTCCAGGGCCATCTCCGAAGTCACACCGGCGAGAAGCCCTACGGCTGTGCCCACTGCGGCAAGGCCTTCGCCGATCGCTCCAACCTCCGTGCCCACATGCAAACCCACTCGGCCGACAAGAACTACGAGTGCTCCCGCTGCCACAAAACATTCGCCCTCAAGTCCTACCTAAACAAACACCTCGAATCCGCCTGCCTCCGCGAAGACGACGTTCCACAACAACAACAAGTCTCCACCAATCTACCCAACAATCGTGGCTTGTAGCAGAAAGAATTCGACCAAAGCTAGCAGGGACAACAACCACCATCATTCTGCCAATACTCCCAAATATGGGAAAGGTTTGCCGTAGATTAATTAGAAAAGTGCCAGTAACCAAAAACCACTAGAACAGATCCTTAAAAAAAACAAAAAGATAAAACGTCCAGTAATTTAAGCATAAAACACAAAAAAAAGACAAAAAAAAATTTGTCAAAAAACGATTGACAAGTCTAGTCACTCTAGTCTATATACAATATATCTATACATGATAGTTTATTATGCCTAGTACGGTTTCTAGTCACGCGATCCAATTCCCGAATCGTCGTATGTGTTCGGTTATTGGTTCAGTTTTCGATTTTCATTGTTATGATCCTAGGGAAATTGAATTTAATCCATTGTCTTGATTACGAGTGGGACGATTCATTTCGAGAGAGCTATGACAAACGTTCGTTTTCATTCTATGTAGACAATCATTCGGAACCTTTATTTTTTCAAATTGAAATTTTCAATTTGCATTTACGGAAATACAAAAATGAAAATCCTTCTTTTCATGGGAAGAATGTTAAAATAAGTATACAACGAAAGACATATAGTAAAAATTGTATTGAATTTAAGAAAAGAGAGGAAGAAATTTCAAGGAAACTAATTCCTGAGTAACTGAGTTTGATCAATAAATTTTAGTTTTAAAAAACAATTCGAGATTTTTAGTCAATTTTCAAACTACTCTGCTAATTGTTTAATAATCGTTTTTTACGTTTAGTAATTATTGATGAAATAATAATAACAATTAATAATTATTAAAATTTACTTCTATTAAAAATTAAAATTTCGTCGAATCGACTGTCTAAAAATAATAATTATTCAAATTAACAATTATTAAAATTAAAATTAATAAACGTTAAAACTTAAAATCAGATTCACAAAATCAAAGAAATTGGAAATTAGTAACTAAATTATTGAAATTTACTATAATGAACAATTATCGAAATTAATTAACGAAATTAACAATTATAGAAATTGACAATTATTAAAATTAAAAATTATTAAATTTAATATTATAAAACTTACCAAAGATAGAAACTATACCAATTTATGGAAGCTAATAATTATTAAAAATTTTAAACTATCAAATAAAGTTAAAAATTACCGAAACTACAAACTTTTGAAGCAAAAAATAATTTTAAATGTTTATCAACTATTGAAGTTAACAACTGTTAGAGATAAAAAAATTCAAATTTATTAATTATAAAGAATACCATATAATTAAACTATCAACTATTAAAATAAACGATTATAATAATTAAAATAATAATATTGAAATGAACGAATAATAATGAAATGAAAAATAATAATTGAAATGAACGAATAATAATGAAACGAAAAATAATAATTGAAATGAACGAATAATAATGAAACGAAAAAATAATAATTGAAATGAACGAATAATAATGAAACAAAAAAATAATAATTGAAATGAACGAATAATAATGAAACAAAAAAATAATAATTGAAATGAACGAATAATAATGAAACAAAAAAATAATAATTGAAATGAACGAATAATAATAAAATAAAAAAATACTTGAAAAATACTATAAAAAAATTCAAAATCTCCGAATGATTGTCTCAAAAGGAACAAAATTAAAAAAAAAAATTTCAACAAATTGATACACGAACGCTTTGATAGTTTTTTGAATGAATAAAATTATGAAATATAGAAATTCATATACACACACAAATAAATAAATAAAAAAAAAGAAAGAAACACGTAATGAGTGATTAACCGATGAATACGTACACGCGCGATTAATTTATATAGATGACAATTTCGAGTATTGGGCTTATATAAATAATAATAATATATATTGTTATACCGCATATTTTTTAGCGAGCAAATATGAAGTGACAAATTAAAATAAAAAAAATAAATAATTAAAAAGAACACGTGTGGTCAAAGCAATGTTTCGACACAACGAATTATATAAACATAGATTTTTGCGAACATCGAACATATTCCGATTAATAATGTGTAATGATATAATTATTAGCTTCGGCATGAAAATTAAATAGTTGTGCCTCCCTTTTTTTTAAATTTGAAAACAAATTTTCAAAAAACACAAACTCGATTAAATTAAAATTTTTATTGTTTATTAATTATTAATTTTCAATTCTCAATTTATTTAATTTTCAATAATTCTCATAAATTTTTTTAAATTCTCATTAATTTTTAATTCTCAATTTGTTAAATTTTTTATTATATTCAATATTAAATTAATTAAAATAATTAATTTTATATATTGATTGAACGAATGAATTAATTAATGAAAAGTTAATTAATGATTAAATTAAATTTATTTGAAAATTGAAATTTATTTATCCAATTGTTGAATTCTTTTTATTTAATTTATTAATTTAAATTAAATGAATAAATAATTTATTTAAATTAAATAAATAAATAATTTATTTAAATTAAATAAATTAATAATTTATTTAAATTAACCTAATTAATAATTTATTTAAATGAAAGTAATTAATAATTTAAATTAAATTAAATTTCTATTTTGAAATGCGTTGAAAAGAAATTCTAAAACAAAAATTAAACATTTTTTTTTCAAGTAAAAAATGAAAAAAATTTGAAATAATATTGCAAAGAATTTTTTTTTTCGAAAAATAATGTTGAAAATTATTCGAGTTGAGAAAAGGGAGACAATATTACTATTTTTAAATCGTTGAAGCTTAGAGATCGCGCCAAGTTGCTGAAAGCAACACTGATCTCACGGTGATCTCCTATTAACCAAACTTTTATAAAGCTAAATAGCCAAAAAAAAAAGAAATAATATCACTGCATGTACAGTAGGTAAAATTATTCGCCGCTAATACGCTTTTACTTTATTTTTTTATCTCCTCTGTTTCCCCCCCTCAAATCTCAAGAGTTTCAGAACCAAATTTCCTAAGATACTTTTTGATAGCCTAAGAGAAAAAACACCAAAAAAAAAACAAATAAAAAGACATTACCATTTTAAAAATAGTATATAATTAACCAACAAGAAAAAAAAGTGAGAAAACCAATGGTAATCGATAAATATTGTTATACTCAATAAAAAAAAAAAGTTTTGTGATGTTCAATTATTATATTATTATATTCTTAATATACCAGAGTTTGTAGTATGTAGGGCATTAAAAAAAATTTGTGATAAATTTCTATGTCAAAAAAAATGTGTTGTTTAAACAAATGAAAACAATACTCAATGAGAAAGACTATCAAAATCATCCAAGTTCCAAAAAAGATGATAAAAAATTATTTTTTTTTGATAGTTCTTTCCCATATGCTCAAAATTTACGAATAAATGAAAATTTTACTCAAATTCGTCTTAGATTTATCTTAGAAGTACAAAAAGAAAAAAAAGAAAATTTTCCTATCAAACCCAAAAGTTTGATCTTATTGCCTTCTAAGTGGAATAAAAACTGTGTTTATATTATTCAAATACAAGTTGTTACAATATGATGTTTGTGAAGGGAGAGAAAAATATTTAAAAAAAATTGCTTCCGAAACTCTTGGGAAAATTTTTTAAAATGCCGGATTTTTCCTTTAAATCGCGCCAAATTAAAAAAAAAAATTTGTGAGAAGAGAAAAAAATACCACAAAAGTTAAGAGATAGAGAGTAGAAATTAATGCAATATTAAAATAATGAAAAAAATTGAAATCGCGATGAGCAATAAAATTTTGCAATAACATTCGATATTTTAAATTAATTTTTAAATTAATTAGTCAATAAACACCGAAAAAGAAAGCAAGGACGTCATTTTTGTAAATACGAGAGCAATTAATTTTTGTCATTGTCATCATTCACGATCATTTATTATTTAATTCTGTTAATTTAATCGACAAGAATTACTTGATAATTTATTAAATTCATTTAATTGTAATTCGAATTAATTATATTAAGTTAATTTATTTATTAGTTTATTTATAAATTTGTTTATAGATCTATTTATAAATTTGTTTATAAATTTATTTATAAATTTATTTATAAGTTTATTTACAAATAAATGAAAAATTAATATTAAAAAATAGTATTATTTAACTATTTTAATTAGTATATTATTATTTAAGTATTTAAATTAGTATAATTTAGTTTATTATTGACAACAACTGTATTCATTTGCCTAGTCACTATATTTATTTAGCGAATTTTTTTTAGAAATATTAAATTAATTATTAATTCATCGATTATATATATATTTATATATTTATTCAACTAGTCATTTAAACAAATTCCAAAAAAAATCCATGAATTAATAAATTAATTACAATTCCAACTAGTCATTATTTAGCAAAAAAAATTTTTATAAATGTCGTCGATTGTATTTTTATAGTATTTAACTATAAAAATAATTATTTTACTCAATTATTTATTACTTGAAAAAAAAATATTTATTAGCAAAGGAAAGAATTACCAAATATTTAATTTGTACAATTTTTATTTTATACTTTCTCCGATTGTATTATTTATTTATTGTGTATAATTTAAACCAAAAAAAAAAAATTTACGCAAATTTTATTTATTGTCTACGTCAATAATTTATTTATTGTAATTTATTTCATGTATTTATTGCGATTATTTTGCAATTTTTATATTTGTTTTTTATAAATAATTACTTTTTTTAATGATGAAAAAAAAATATGATTTCTTTTGTTATTTCAATCATTAATCATCTCTCATTAATTATAAGAAACGATAACAAAAAAACACCATTAAACTAATTAATTATTATTATTATTGTGCTATAAAATACAACGATTTGATACAACGATCGCATCCAGAAAAAAAGCAAAAAGAAAGCAGTGAATTGTGTGAAATTTTTTACGCGTTTTTAGTAAAGAATATAAGATCAATATTTATTGAAAAATGAGGGAAGAAAAAAATATTGGTCGAAAATAATTATTTTTTTAGAAATGCGACATATAAATATTAGTGAATTAAAGAAAAAAAAATACTCATTGAGTCATTTTTACGGCAGTACTAACAGGAGCATATCCGCTTTTGTTTTGTCCTCATTTTGTGGACAGTTCGTTATATTCCGCCAAAATGTTAGAAACGCTAGCTTTAATTAAACAGTTCGTTACAGTAAAAAAATTAAAAAACAAGGCATTTAAAAAAAAATTTTGTTTTTGCAAGCAAAAATAAAAATAAATTTAATTCTCAAATCCGATAGCAATTAATTTTTTTTAATCAATTGACATTAATTAATAATTAATGGCCAATTAATTGCTAATGAGTTACTAATTAACTACTAATTTATTGCTAATTAATATTCAGTGAAGATCCAATCTAATAAATTTTTAATTAATTAATTGATAATAAATTGCTAAAAAGTTACTAATTAATTACTAATATATTGCTAATTAATTACTAATGTATTGGTAATTAATATTTAGAAAATTTTTTGTCTAATTAATTACCTAATTATTAATTGATAATAAATTACTAATTAATTAATATCAAATTACTAATTAATATATAACAAATTACTAATTAATTGCAAATAAATTACTAATTAAATGTCAATAGATTAATTAATTAATTAATTGCTAATAAATTGCAATAATTGATAAAAAAAAATGCCAATTTCTCATTAATAAAACATTAATAATTATTATTAAATAAAATTTGATAAATCGCTTATATACCGGAGAATTTTACGTTTTTCGTAAATTGCGAGAGGACGCTTATTAAGTAGAGGAAATTTTCTGTTTGTATATTATTAACAAACAAAAAATAAAAACAAAAACCTCATGAAAAATAAACTCGAAAAAAAATCATGGAAAGCTCAATTCTTTAGGGAGAGAAAAAAAAATATTTGTGTTTTAGGAAGAAAAAAAGAAAATAAATAGAGAAGGGGGGGGGGGGGGGGCGTAAAACAGATTCGATGTTAGAAAAATAGAGGTGCTCAAACAAGTGTGTACAAAATAGATGAACAACAATTTAAAAAAAAGAAAAAAAAATAAAAGAAACACAATGATATATTTATTAGTTAAAATCTAAATAAATGAATAAGAAAAAAAAATAGTGAAATAATGAAAATGAAAATAACAATGGGGAGAAATGAAAATAATAATTTAGAAAATGTCTATAGAAAAAGGGATATTTTATATCTATCATTGCGGTTGGATATGTCTATTTAGAATATTTTATCATCATTGTCGTCTACTTTTTACGTTCCTCGCGATCAAAATTCTTGGCCTCCACTCGCAATACCCGCTTTTTTCAACAACCTCAATGCAAATGGAAATTTCTAAAGTTTTTTTTTCTCTTTTTATTTTTTTTCTGACATTTTTATGAAATATTGTATGTAAATTTTTCGTGATAGCAAGTTTTTTTTATTTATTATTATTACTCTTTATTATTATTATCATTGATATTAATATTTTTTTTTATATCACTTTAATTATTTAATTATTTTTTTTGTTTTATAATTTAATTTTTATTTCTTTTAGAGTTTTTTTATCGTCATTATTATTATAATTATCATTTAGAATTGAAACTTACAAAAAGAAATTCTAAAGAAAAGTAAAAAATAGAAAATGAAAAATAATTTTCAAAAAAATGCTTTTTCAACAACAATTAAAATTTTACATATAAAAATATTCAAATGCTCCTCGAGCTTTGCATTTATTTCAATGAATTTAAATAAATTTCTATTCTGAATGCGAATTTTCGAGGTTCTGCGCAATGTTGACAAGTTCTTTATTTTAAATTTAAATTTAATTTAACCCTTTTTGTGGGCGCAAAGGATTTCAAAAAAAGGCAATTTCTTTTTCCGAATTCAAAATTATTTTTCAACTTTATTGAAAAAGGAAATTTTTCACCTAAATTAATTTTCAGTTAAAATGAAAAAATACTTCCCTTGAAAAATGTTTTAATTAACTGCTTTTTTTAATTTATTTTTTAATTTTCAATTTTTTTTTATAAATTATTATTAATATTTCACAACTTTCGGTTTTAGGCAAATATTTATTTAATTTAAAAAAATATTTTTTATTTAATAGAAAAAAATAGATGAAAATAGATGAAAATAGATGAAATAAAGGAGAGAAATAAAGTTAAGAAGAGAATAAAAAGAGAAAAAAAAAGTAAAAGTAAATTATCTGTGAAGGTAAATTTCACTGTTTGCGTAATTAAATCATAATCGTTCGATTAGACTTTAGAAAATTTCCAGTTTGCGGAAAAATCTCCCTATAAATATTCTGCTCATCTTTCAACTCATCATCTCTTCTCCTCTCTGTATAATATTTTTCCAACTAAAATTCAAATGAAGAGAAAAAGCGAAAATCCACAGTCTGGGTGGTACAATAATAATAATAAAAAAAAATGCATCAATCGATATCCAGCTATAATATATAAATTATAGTCTGATAAAAGTATTTAATATATAAAAAAATAAATTCTATTAATATAAAAGAAAAATCAAAGACTTTGAGTTTTTTTTTAGTAGAATTTTAGTTTCATAATAAAATAATAATAATAATAAATGCTTAAAACTAGGCAAACGGCTGAAAAGTGCAATAGAGTGTGGATTTAGTATCGATAAAAGACTATTAAACGACTATAATAGTTTATCTTCCGGATATCGACTGCCGCTTTAATAAAAAAAAAGAACAATTAATTTCCCTTTTTTTCTAATTTTTCTTCCTTCTTTCTTTTTCTTTTTTTTTACATTCTGTCGCTCTTTTCTTGCTCTTGTATATCGTATTTACTCTATACCTACTTAACTATAATAATATTCTCAGTAGACTTTTAAAATCTAAAAGAAAAAAAAATCTTACATACTTCCTTATTGTAAATTTTAGAGAATCATCGTATTTATATTCTTAGAGTCATAACACTTTTAAAAATCGAGACTTTTATGGGCTTGCATCGAAGGAGCTTTTCTTCTATATCTTCCTCCCTCTCCCCCCAATCCCCCTATATAACTTTCAACTCTCAGCTATACAATCTCTCGACCAATGAAAAAAAAAAAAAAAAAAACAGTAAAAAATACTCGACGAATTTTTTTTCTGATGATTGAAATGGAAAATTTTTTACCCTCTTCTATATAAGAAAAACACTTCTCTTTGATTCAGTATCGAGTATTTTTTGCTTCTTGGTTACTTTTCAAATTTTACTGTGCAACGATTAAAAAAAAATAAAATTGAACGTGAAAAATTTCACCGAATTTAAAAAAAAAATTTTTTTAGAAAAATCTAAAGAAATTTATTTAATTTAAACTTTAAAGTTTATTTTTAAATTAAATTTAAATTTAAAAATTTTTTTATTCACATTTAATTATTCCTGGGAAAATTTAAATAGTAATTTTTATATTCTAATCTATTGTAAAAAATATACTTCATATTTATTTATTAAATAAATACAAATAAAAATAAAAGTTCTAATACTAAAATTAATTTTATAGTATTATAAAATTATTATGTAAAAATTTAATTATAATTGAACTTACAAATTTTTTCAATTTATTTCAACAATTTCAATTTACTAAATTATAATAATTATTATAATTAAATAATTAATAAATTGAATAAGTCGAAATAAATAATAACTAAATAAATTCAATCTCTATAATTTAACAATTTACTGTAAAAAAAATTCGCTGAAATTTTTCACGAAAATTTATGAGACCAAAGTTTTACTCGACGAATAAATTTGAATATTGAAAATTAAAAACGAAAAATTTGCACAGTTTTTCGAAATCTCGTTGGAATCTCGAAGATATTTCTCAATTCCTAATATTTATAATTAAATGTATAAATATCTACTCACCAAATCTCTCCCTCACTGTCTTCTTCAACATCTCTGTCCCTGTAAAAAAAAAATTTCCTCTTTAATCAAATGTTCAATAAATATTTCTATTTTCGTAAAAAAAAGGAAAATTTTCCCTTTAAATTCTTTAAAACAGAAAACTTCCAAATTTTCTAAAACTAAATAAAAAATTAATACTTTGAAAGAAAGAAAATTCAACAAAGTATAGAAATTGTAATATTAATAAAACAATTAATTAATTGTAATAAAAAAAATTAATAGGCTGAGAAAAGAATAAAATTGACTAAATAGAAATTGTATTAATTAATTATAATTAGTACTAATTATAATTGTTATTATAATTAACAGTTAAAAATAAATTTTAAAAAAATACGCTGAGAAAAGAATAAAATTGAAGAAAATATAGAAGTCTAATTAATTAATTATTATTATTACAATTATTATAATTAATAGAATTAATAATTAAGAATCTTAATCAAACTCTAAAAGTCTATTTAATCGAAAAAATATTTTGTTTAATCAATAAAAAAATCTAATTCAATTTCCAATTTTCCAACAGTTTTAATAATGTAAAAAAAATTCTACATCAATTTTCCTATTTCCAAATATTAAAAAAAATAATTTTTAAAAAAAGAGGGTAAAAAACGGTAATTTATAGTAAAAATACCAACTAGTAAAAAAATTTAAAAACTATATTTTTAAATACTTTAATATAAAAAACCAATTTTTCCTCGAGAATCCAATGAGAAATAATTCGATATTCCCAAATATTTGATGAGTCCAAAAAACAAAAGAAAAAATTAATAAAAAAAATCGAGTAAAACTCATAAACGAGAAATCGTGTTAGACTGATGTAATGATTAAAAGGGGGAACACTTTCGTTTGCTGCCTGCTTATCGGTAATAAAAAGAAATCAAATAGTGATACAAAAAAAGCAGTAATAATGAGACTTTAATATAAAGAAATTATATTATATATATGAGTAAATAATATAAAGACGTTTAGTGGATCGCAAATTTAAATCCAAAAAAAAAATGAATATATATATTCAAGAAAAAAAATCCGTTGACATATTAATAAATAATAATAATAAAAAAAGAAAATAATGCGCTTTATTAAATTAAAATAAAAGGCACACGATACTTATTTAGAAAAAAAAATGAAGATGATGTGTATATAGCCCTAATTTTAAGTCACGCGATAAGTCTAGTGTTTTCTTTTTCTTCAATTTACAAGAAATTGTTGAAATAATTGTAGAAATTTTGTATTTAAGCAAATAGAGAAGAAAAAAAGAAAATGAAAAAAATGCACGAAAGCGAGAAAAAGTGTGTAATGCAAAGTTTGTCGTAATTATTAATCGAAAAAAAAAATAAAATAGCGAAACGTACGATTGACCAATAGTGACAAAATAGCTTTTTTTTGTAATTTTATTTTATTTTTTTTTTAAATTGCGAAATTCGTTTGATGAATATTTACAAATATAATTTATTTACTATTTTATTGCTAATTATTAATTTAATAATTAGTAAATTTATTAATTAATTTTCTACTTAATTTACTAATTAGTAAATTTATTACTTTATTTGCTACTTAATTTACTAATCAGAAAATTTATTAATTAATTTCAAAATTAAATTAATCAGTAAATATATTAACTGATTTTCTAATTACTTTTTTACTCAGTTTAGTAATTACTTAAATTACCAATTAATTAATTTGCTACTTAATTAGTTTATTAATTAGTTAATTTGAAAATTAATTTGCTACTTTCTTTACTAATTACTTAAATTCCTAATTAAAGTGCTAATTAATTTAATAATTGGTAAATTTATTACTTTATTTACTACTTAATTTACTAATCAGTAAATAATTAATTATTAATTAATAATTGATTTATTTTCAAATAAATTTACTACTCAGTTTACTAATTAGTTTATTTCAAAAATAATTTACTAAACAGTAAATTTACTATTTGATTTTCTAATTACTTTGCTACTTATTTTATTAATTATTTAATTTACCAATTAATTTATTTGCCACTTAGTTTATTAATTATTCAATTTACTAATTAATTTATTTGCCACTTAGTTTATTAATTATTCAATTTACTAATTAATTTATTTGCCACTTAGTTTATTAATATGTTAATTTAAAAATTAATTTTCTACTTTATTTACTAATTACTTAATTTCCTAATTAATTATCTAATTAATTTATTAATCAGTAAATCTATTATTTCATTTGTTACTTAATTTAGTAATTGATAAATTTATTACTTCATTTGCTACTTAATTTACTAATCAGTAAATTTATTAATTTATTTTCTACTTAATTTACTAATTGGTAAATTTATTACTTAATTTGGTACTTAATTTACTAATCAGTAAATTTATTAATTAATATTTTACTTAATTTACTAATCAGTAAATTTATTAATTGATTTTTCACTTAATTTACTAATTGGTAAATTTATTACTTAATTTACCAATCTGTAAATTTATTAATTGATTTTCTAATTAACTTGATACATAGTTTACTAATTAATTAGTTTTATAATTAAGTTGCTGTTTAATTTACTTATTAATTTGCGACTTAATTTAGTAAATAATTCATTTGATACTTAATTAATTAATTTCCTAATTAATTTTACTATTTAATTTACTAATTCATTTATTCTCTAATCAATTTGCTGTGTAATTTACTAATTTATAGATTTACGAATTACTTGATTGTCGAAAAACTTTCGCCTTCTGGAAACTTAAAAAATTTTCTAAATATTTATCAAACGTCTTTCCTGAATTAAAAAATATTAAAGAATATTTTTTCCGTAAAAACTACGGTCGAGATTTGATAATCTATAAATAATAATAGTAATTTGATCGAAATGGACAGTCACAGAGTGGTTTTAAAACACTTGAGACACGAGGATATACATATATATATAGAAAGCATGATTATTGGCTTCACACATTACACACATTTATATACATAAATCAGGAAGCTGCGTCTCAATATTCCTGACATTAGAGTGAAATATCGCTCGCTGAGTCAGAAAGCTATAAAATTGCTTACGACTATATATCGAGGTTATACACATTACAAATTACGAGATTCAATTAGAAAAAAAAATTACCCTTTTCCTTATAATGCGAAATCGTTCAATTGAACATATACGTTTAATGAAGCACCAATTATATGTTACCAGTTAATTTTATTCTTTTTTTTTTTTTTTTTGTTAAATATCAGAAAGAAAAATCAATAAGTAAAAGTTATTTGGATTATCATTTTTTTTTCATAGCCACCAGACTACAAGTTCTTCCGGTTAAAAGAAAAATTGTTACATTCATTCGATTACGTGTTTACATCCATCTTTCGTAAGACTTTCAATTTCCTCTTTTGTTTCTCGAAATTTTATTTTTACACAATTCATTTTCATGGTCTGGAAATTATTCACATTTTTTTCCGCTTGAGGTCAATAGATTTTTTTCCACATTAATATTTCTTAATGCAAAATAGTTATTGACAAAAAAAAAAAATTATTAACAAAATTAATTATTCAAAAGAATAGTTATTGAAAAAATAGTTATTGGAAAAAATTGTTATTGAAAAAAAGTTATTGACAAAAATAATTATTGAAAAGAATAAATGTAGAAAAAATAATTATTGGAAAAAGTAATTATTACAAAAAAATAATAATTGGAAAAAATTGTTATTCAAAAAAATTATTCACAAAAAAATGGATATTAAATATTAATTATTAATTACAATTTATTAAATTATTACTCGAATTTCAAATAATTAATTTTAACATTTTACTCCTAAACTTTCTGTTGCGCAGAAATTCGAGAAAAAGAAACATCTCATAATAATATATGAAAAATGTGAGAGAAATTGTAAAAGTTTATAGGGCCATTTTTCTCAATCCAAATAACTTTTACGACATACGAGAACTTGGTGAAAGAATAAAGAGAGCCTCTCGTAGATTATCTCTCGTGTAACAATTGGAAATTTTTGTTGATACACCAAAAAGGCCAGGATACATTATTCATGGCCAGCAAAAATAGATATAGCGGACATTTGCGCGCCAGCTTATACGAGATCATAACTATTACGTTCAGGTTATTTTTCTTAAACAGTCACACCAGTAACAAAATGGAAAAGAAAAAACTAGAGAGAAAAAAACTCCTCGATAAAAGGACTGGGAATTTTTTTTTTGTTACCATCTCTCTTTCATATACTCATAAAAACCACCACTCAAAAAAATTCAAATTATCCACGAATATAAAAAGAACAAACAAAAAAATACACAGTAAAATCGACTATTAAAAAAGGATTTTTATTTCTTTTATATAGACACAAAATCGATCGGATAAAAAATCCCAATGGGAAAAAGAAATTATTTCTCCTTTCAAAATTCGGATATTAATATAAATTCAAATTATTACAAAAAAAATTAAATTAAAATGTTCTTCAATTTTAATTTTCGATTAAAATTTTTTTTGGTTTTTGATTAATTAATTATAAACCGAAAAAAAAGATAATATTCGTAAACACAGGGAAAAAAGGCATTAAATGCAATTGAAGAGTTTAGAAAAAGAAAGAAAACGTTAAGTGCTTATCAATAATAGGATAATAATTAAACCAAAACAAAAAAATTAATAAATTAAAAAATTTGATGAGATTATTCAGTTAATCGTGAATGGGGAAAAAAAGGTTGTAAAATTCTCAACGGGGCTGTTCTTTTTCTAATTTCCCCAGAGTTTTTTTGCAAGCGCAAGCCTTTATCGTGATGACGCCAAAAACTCCACAATTGCATTTTGGTGCATATACCAAATAAACGGCAAATTTTCATATTTCTATATTGAAAAATTGCCCCCAAATGACTTTTTATCCCAGCGAACGTGAATTATAAACAAGTTAAATTAAATCAATTTTTTTTTAAAGGAATGCAACAACATTAAAACTAATAACGAACTTTTAAGAACTTTTAAGATCTTTTAATAACATTTAATAACTTTTAATAACTGCTTTTAGGAAAA